AATAGAACACCATTGGTAAGTGAATCAGTATGATACTACATCCCACAATATACCATACTAAAGGCTTGTTACAATACTTACAAAGTACCAATAGAACACCATTGGTAAGTAAATCAGTATGATACTACATCCCACAATATACCATACCAAAGGCTTGTTACAACACTTACAAAGTACCAATAGAACACCGTTAGTAAGTGAATCAGGAGTTTATGGAGTTTTTGACAATCATTTAACGATGTTATACTCTATTTTTTTGCAGGTTTACTGTGATTTTCACGGACATTCCAGGAAAAAGAATGTATTTATTTACGGCTGTAGCAAAGCAGCGTCGATCTCATCCGGTTCTTCACCAGAAGTCGACGATGCTTCCGTCTCTAACGATCGTGCAACAGATGCTATGTCCGAGTCCGATTCCACAAGCAGTATGGACGCTAGCGAAATTGTTGAAGACCTTGGTTATCGGGTAAGAACCAATAACAAAGCACTCATTGTTGGGCTTCCTTTGTAATCAGATCTTGCATGTGACGTCAGAGCAGCTTCATCTGGAGGACAAAACAAACGATTTTTATCCTCTTGGAAACTAAAAAAAAAAACATTGTTTTTTCCTCCAGTTGGAGTTGCATTCCCACGAAATATCTCACTCGAACAAATTTTCTTTGTGTATTTTAGACATTACCCAGTGTTCTTCACAACATTGCGCCAGCGTTCTTTCTGGGCAGCTGTAGTTTCTTAGTGGAGCCGTCAAAAGAATCGACCGCGCGCGTCGTCGTTTGGCGGGAAATCGGCGTGTTGCGTAGTTACACTATGGAGAGCACTTACAGTGGGTGTGATCAGGGACCATATAAGGTAATCTTGTGATCACGTGATTTTACTGAAATATGGCGCGCTCTGACTTGCTGTCAATCAACAGGGTTGCCATCTTGGTACTCGTGAACTAGAGGAGATGGGACGATTTTTCTGCGCAGGTCTTTTGCGTATCGCTAGACCGTTTGCACGTCGTGATCGCTCTCAGGCCAGCAATCACAGCATTGATACGAATGAAAATAGCGACAATTGGTGAGTTATTTAATGCTTTTTGTTGGTCTGTACTCAGTTTATAACATGTAATCTCTCTTTTTACTCAATTCAGGATTCGTTCCAGTGAACTTTTCGTCCCAGTCCCTTCTATTCCACATGATGATGAGGACAGTAGTGGGGAGAATTGACTCCAACAAAATATACAATTAATAATTATGAACAAATAATAATTATGAACTTACGAAAAGCAGCAGTCGAAAATTATCACGAAAAAAGACAACTGCTCGAACGATTTTACCAACTTGATACCTTCGCGTTAAAACGCAATGTGCTTTGCGTAAAGCGTTAGAACGTTTTTTCAAATGCGTTGACTTTCATTTAAGGCAGATTTTTTGGGGTTAAAATGTCAACTTTTGCGCGACATCCTCTACCTAAATTTACAAAATAGTTTATATTTCATTGATTTAATATTCAAGACGTAAATTCAAATCAAAACTATGATCTTCTATTTTTTACCGTTAAACCGTMACAGCGTTGATCGCTGATTGCGTAAAAAACAGTATCGTTTTCATGACGTCTTTATGAACGATTAGAGCGTTTTTCGTACGAGTGGGGAAATGTCCGTAAGTTAAGATTAATAAGAAGTTTTCAGTAATGGCCACAAATTTCAAACGCAGCCCCTACATGTGCCAGTTCAGTGCAAATTCATCCAATCTTTTTTTTACGCTTGATATTTCATTTGTATTGAAACATGAGGCATTCGACGTTGAAATGTTTGTTCAACACGTTTTCGCGCTGATCTCGATCTTTAACAGATTTTTATATATATTTACAATTTTTTTTATTTTAGCTATCTTAGAATTACCGTTAGTCAGTTACCAAATATATATTTAACATTGGCTATTTGTTTATGTTGTTACTTTTGAATTCATCCTCGGGATCCCTCCACAGTATTTGCTTTCTGAGGATGTGCTGAATTATTTAATGCCGCTTTACTTCCCTAGAAGAGTTCCCATGATTGGTTAAAATAGCAAGCCGCTTTGATTAGCGAACCTCACATTTGCATATTCAGTGGAAATTTCTCCAACCTTTATCTTATATGCTTTAACTTCGTCACAAGTGAGATTCGGCGTTATAGAAAGGGGTAACAAGTCTCTCTCCGTGACAAGCGATCGTACACATATTTATACTGACTGCCGTGTCAAAAATACAAATTAATTTGATGATGTTATTAGATATTTGTTGCTAGTTTTATATTTCAAAATTAATAAATTGCTTATTCTTCTGTAAAATTTGTCATAAAAAGAGATTTCTTGATCGCAAATCTAGTTGCGTGACCGATAATTCGAGAAATGGTCACGTACTACAACTGATTTTCATAGTCAATCGAGGGGAAATTCCCCACGATTAACTATGCTATTTTGAAACATGATGTTTCTCGGTAAAGTTTCACTTTCATTTTCGATCACTAGGGACAAGGCAACCGTGATATCTATCTCTACCGTGGCGATGTCAACCTCAATGAACTGCAGTATAGAATTGATCCAAACCCTTATGTGAAGGAAGATCCAGGGTTTTTTTAGAAAAGGAGGTCCCGGCCAAAAATCTAAAAAAGTTTATGAGTTCTTAGGCTTACGACATTAATTGAAAAACGTTATTTCGGAATATAGTCATTAATGAAAAAATATCTGCATTTGGATCCGCTCTTGTTATGTGTACAAAATCGATCACGCGGTACAAAATCCGCCATTTTGGATGGCAATACTCCAATTTCAAATTCAAGTTTGCTCTGTTTTTTTTTTTTTTTTTTTTGATAGCCCGAGAAAGCGCATGAAATTCGAAAAGAAAGACATTGAAATCTCACACAGAGCTCTGGAAAATTCTGGATTATTCGTATCGTGTGACCAAGTGATACATAAAGGACAGTCTCYGCTTTACTTCCCTAGAAGAGTTGCTTTGATTGGTTCAAATAGCAAGCTACTTTAATTATTACTCCAACCTTTGACTTCGTCACAAGTGAGATTCGGCGTTAGAGAAAGTAAGAAGTCTGTCCGTGACAAGCGATCGTACAAGACATTTTTACTGACTGCCATGACAACAATTCAAATTAATTTGATGTTATTAGATTTGTTACACATATTCGTTGTGCTCTTCGTTCTTGGAGAAACTCGATTACACAGAGTTTTTAAACAAAGTTTTTCATGAAAGCACTCGCTCTACTCAAGCAGCATTGTGCTTATTCTTCTGTAAAATTTATTAAAAAAAGAGATTTCTTGTTTGAAAGTCTAGTAGCCTGCGTTACATCCGGTTTTATTTGCCAAAAGAAACCGCAGACGGTTATTTTGGCGAAATAAACCGTATGCAACGCAGGCTACAAGTCTAGTTGCGTGACCGATAATTATTCCGAGAAATGGTTATTATTTTGAAACATGATGCTTCTCGGTAAAGTTTCACTTTTATTTTCGATCACTTGTGAATACCATACCATACTCGATCGCTTAAAGCTTCTCTGTTTCTCGCTTTAAAACTCTTGATATTTCTTCGTCACGATGAGTAAGGTAAGTTTAAACATGATTTCTGCATTTTGAAAATGGTCACAGTACTAAAATGTCATGAACGGACGTTTCCTGGTGGCCTTCTAAAAGCTTACACCGTAATATAGCACAATGCTGCTTGAGTAGAGCGAGTGCTTTCATGAAAAACTTTGTTTAAAAACTCTGTGTAATCGAGTTTCTCCAAGAACGAAGAGCACAACGAATGATRTGTTTATAACTATTGACAATTTTAAAAGCTTAAAGACTCCAAGCAAACTATAAGCGGCCTTTCTGCCAATTACATGAGTGTAAAACTAGAGTCTTTACATGTAGATAACACTTTATCACTACACTAACAAAGCTGGAGCCGACGGAATAGACAAAAGTAAAGTTATCAAAGGATCTACCTATGAAACTCCTGCACAGAACCGTAGACACGGCACAGGTACGTTATCTCATAAAATGATGGCGTAAGGAAAATGATGGCGCATTATTGATGTATTTTACAATAATTTACCTCAATAATAAAAAAAATTACCTCAATAATTAATGATATTTATTTTTGGTCTGAATAATTTTACTACTTCACTTATGAATCATTACCTTTTTGTCTCCACTTGCTACGGGCCTAATTTAAGGATAAATTCAATCAAATTGCACAATTTTATTCAACCATATTATACATTTAATATCTCTGTCTTTAATAGGAGTGTATTTTACATCAATCGCTCCAAACAAGAATCCTAAGTCCATTCTTCTCAACAACTACGATGACGCAGGTCATGTGGTAAACAGCAAGAGGTTGTGGGCCAAGATAGAATGGGTAGTTGAAGTTGCCATTCCAGTTTCTGATGTGAAAAAAGTCGAGGGACAAGGCAACCGTGATATCTATCTCTACCGTGGTGATGTCAAACTCAGTGGTCTTCAGTGCAGCATTTATGAAAACCCTTATGTGTAATACCATGCAATACAGATTGAATGACTGACACCAAGAATTTGTGTTAATACTGAACCTTTAGTTTTTGGATCACTTGGTCACATGGTACAAAATCCGCCATATTGGATGGCAATTTCTATCATGTTTCCAAGTGATACAAGTAGGCCTGTCCCACTCATTTCTTAAGAAAAATTCAATGTTTTTAACAAGCTGTATTTCTATTGTTCTGACTTTTTATCTGATAAACACGTCGATCTTTCTATTTCAGTCATCTTCACCGTCTTATTAATAAAGAGTTTCACCTTAAATTAGACCTTATTACGAATTCGGACTACAAACGAGTGGGGAACTGTCTGTAATAGTTGAGATCCATAGAGATATAGAGACTAAAAACAGAGAAAGTTTTCACTAATGGTCGCAAATTTCAAACTCTAGCTCAACACGTTTTCGTGCAGATATCGATCTTTAACAGATTTTTTATATATATTGCCCGGGGGGGGGGGGGGGGGGTACTCGACTCCGTTTTGGATAGGTACGTGCCGCCAGCGGTCTAAATCCCTGACCCTGTTTAAGACCCTAAA